GTCAGGGATCTAAAATTAGAATCCGGTTACTTCCCCTGGCAAGACCACTGCTAATGCAACTTACAGCCTTATTATTCGGATCATGCCCGCTCAATCTCAATCAAATTTGTTTCTTCCCAGCTGCCAGCCTTAAAGCTACCAATGATGCTGAGGACAAAACCACTGATGGTTCTAATCAGGGCCCTAAGAGAGAATTCACAGTGGAAGACCCTCACTGCTACATTGTCAATGCCCCTTCTCAGCCAAAAGCAGCAAAAACAACTGAGGGCTCCTTTTTCCTAGTGGCATTTAGGGTTAACACTGCTGAGGGGGACTGAGACCAGGCAAACAAAACAACACCCAATTAGAGCAAGGGTATGCGTAAACTGAGACCAGCTCCAGAAAGTCAGAGAGAAAGGAAGGTTTCTGCTGTCAGAGGTCTTGCTACAAATAGCAACCACACTATTTCAAAGGACAAGGGCCTGGATAAACTGAGATAAGCCCTGCGAAGTTGAGGTGAAATGGAAGCCTACCTAGAAATTCAATTGTATTTCAGTTTCACACCGAAGTCTACCTATAAGCCCATGGACTTAGGCCCTCCATGGGCACCTCCCTTCCATCCCCTCTTGCCAACCAGCAAGCGCTTTTCTTTTGTTAATAAACTACACCTGGGTTATTCCCCACTGTTGTGATTATGAACTTCATTTTCTGTTGTGTTCAAAAGAGAAACCCAAAAGGGGGAAAAACTGGTAACACTATTTTATATGTACTCTAGGACTAAGCAAATGCGACAGCGTCTCCCTGACAAAGCAGATGGAGGGGAAAGACAACCAGGGTGGCCAGGGAGACACAGCTTCTCCAGCATCAGAACAGGCGCAAACCACATACAAGCACAAGGTCAGAGCAGTGCTCCAAGACGACTTTACTCTAAGACAGCTGTGGGTACCATTCACAGATCCTTGGCTGGAATAAACTCAGCGACGGACTTAAGTAACAACTCACTGGTCTTAAACAAAATTGAGTTTAGTTCTGCAGCCTGAAAAAAACCATTTCCTGATTTTCGTACTTGATGCTAACAGTTACCATTCTCTAAGTGAATGGTATACAGAATTTCTATTTTTTTTTTTTTTTGGTGGTACCAGGGATCAAATTCAGGACCTTGTGCTTGGCAGGCAGGCACTTACGCCACTGAGCTATCTCCCCAGCCCCTGGTTATTGTTGTTTTTTTTTTTTTTTTTCAGAACCAGGGATTGAACTCAGGCCCTTGTGCTTGCCAGATAAGTGCTTATTCTACTAAGCTATCTCCCCAGCCTCAAGATGTTTAAACTTCTTGGACAACCCATATTACCCAACCCTAAACTCATTTTTTCTTTCTTTCTTTTTTTTTTTTTTGGCGGAACCGGGGATTGAACTCAGACCCTTGTGCTTGCCGGGGAAGCGCTTATTCCACTGAGGCATCTCCCCGGCCCCCAACCCTCCACTCATAATGCACCAAATCTGCCTCTCTACCTCCCGAATGCTCTCCGTATAAAAGCCTCCAAACCCCACCAGGAGGGGCTCTGACTCTTTGGGAAAGATCCCAGTCAGGCCCACAAGTATAAGCTGCCTCCTAAACCTTCTAAGTGCTGTTTCTTTTCATATTTGGTCTGTTTCCTGTAACACTATCACCAAAGATCTCTTTCCTGCTGTTCCCCACAGTGAATCTAATTTCCCAACTGTCCCCACCCCTTGGCAACTACTAATTAGCTGCTACACCATAACAGCTTTATTTTGAGAATATTCTCAAAATGGAGTCATAAATACTTTTGAGGTTGACTTTTTTTTTTTTTTTTTTTTGGCAGAACTGGGGATTGAACTCAGGCCTTTGCATTTGCCAGGGAAGCGCTTATTCCACTGAGACATCTCCCCAGCCCTAAGGTTGACCTTTTTAAAAATCTTTTTATTTCATGTATTTGGTACAGGGTCTTACTACGCAGTAGTGATCCTCCTGTTTCCAGCATCCCCAGCACTGGGATTACAGGCCTGCGCTGCCACCACTCCGACTAGGTGGGTCACAAGCTCAGTGCGCCCAGAGGCTGGGCCAGTGTGGCATGGGGGGGGGGGGGTGTTGCCTTGACTTTTCTCACCAGCACAAAGCCCCAGACACCCACCTAAGCTACATGAACCCTGCTAAGGAACATACCCAGGTATGACTCTGCCACTGTGTATTAAGCCAGTTATTCCTTGAAGGTCACCTGGGTTGTTTCCAGTCTTAGGTAATCACAAACAAGAAACTATGAACATTCACGGGTGGGCTTCTGTATGAAAATAAGTTTTCATTTCACAAGGACAGAAGCTCAGAAATGAAGGACAGGTCTTCTGTTCTGGAGAAACTGCAGATGTACAAGATATCCAGTTTCTTAATGTCTCTGTAGACTTCTGGAAATACAAGGCTGTTTTGCTTTTTAAAAAGCCATTTTAGGGGCCAGGGAGATGGCTCAGTGGAATAAGCGCTTCCCTGACAGGCACGAGGGCCTAAATTCAATCCCCAGTTCCGCCAAAAAGAAAAAAAAAGAAAGTATTTAAAAAGCCATTGTAATAGCAATGCAGTTATCTTTCTCTCTCTCTCTCTGTTGTTTTGTTTTGTTTTTTTTCCTTTGGTACCAGGAATCAAACTCGGGATTTTTTTTTAAAAACTTGTGTGTGTGTGTGTGTGTGTGTGTGTATGTGTGGCCAGCTCAGCCCACCAGGGGGCGGGGCTGGCTGGCATGTGGGGCTGGGGGAGAACCGTGATCCCTGTGCTTTGCTAAGCTTGTTCTAAGTAGGTGCTTTAGACCACTGAGCCATCTCACCAGCCCAAACTCAAGATCTCTTGTCTGCCACACAGATGCTGTGTCACTGAGCTATATGGCCAGCCCTTTATTGTCTTTTTGAGACAGGGTTTCTCTATGCAGTTCAGGCTGGCCTTGAACTTACTTTGTAGCCCAGGCTGGACTCAGAATCTTAGACATCTTCCTGCCTCAGCCTCCTGAGTGCTGGGATTGCAGGCCTGTTACACCATACCCAGCACAGTTATATCTTATTTTAGGGTTGGCTTTTGTTTCCCTACTGCTGGCAACGTTGAACATCTTTTCACATATTCTGGTAGTTTGTACTATTTTTGCAATCTTTTATTCATCTCAAATGAAAAACTAAAAATCAAATAGAAGTCTTAAAAAGACAGCAAATTCTAATGTTTTAGCACTAACCTTACTAGCATATACTCCATTCTGCGTCATGTCTGGGTAATTTTCAGTATCAGTCTTGTTACCAGCCACTTAGGTTCAGACACTCACGTTTGACTGAGGGCTAACATAAGCACAGGGGAAGCTGAGGCAAGAGGACTGTCACAAGTTTGAGGCCAGCCCAGTGTACACTGTGAGATCCTGCCTCCAAGCAACAAAAAATAAAAATAGTTTTGGGTTTTTTTGGTACCAGGAATCAAACTCAGGACCTTGTACTTGCCAGGCAGGTGCTTATGCTGCTGAGCTATCTCCCCTGTCCAACAAAAGGGAAAGTGTAATGAACAATCTTTATCAGAGTATCGGATTGGGGAGACAGCTCAGCACTCTAAGTGCCTGCCTGGCAAACGCAAGAACCCAGGTTCAATCCTCGATACCATATGCCATGCTGGCCCTGGAACCTGACAACACTGTGCCAGGCACTGAAAGCAGGCATGATGATGCAGGCCTGTCATCCCATCACTGGGGAGGCTGAAACGGGGATCACTACGGGTCCAAGCTGCATAGTGAGATCCTGTATCAAATAAATAAAATAAAAAAAGAGGGGCTGGTGAGATGGCTCAGCGGTCTAAAGCACCTACTTAGAACAAGCTTAGCAGAGCACAGGGACCACAGTTCAATCCCCCAGCACCACATGCCAGCCAGCCCCACCCCCTGGTGGGCCAAGCTGGCCACACACACACACACACACACACACATAAATAAATAAATACAATTTTTAAAAAAAAAGAATTCCAAACTATCCTGCTGAGCACACGGCAAAACCATTCTCCCTTCAGACCAAGAGACAGAACACGTACATGCCAGTCCTAGGAGGCTTTGAACCTGGTTTGTCTTCCACAAGAGGAAGATGAATTGAAGATGGCTGAAAGTGATAAAAGTACAAAGATCTGCACTGTCTCTCTGTACTTTCCCGCCCCCGTACCTTACCATATAAAAGACCCCTGCCCTCCTATAAGCAGTGAAATGGTGCTTTAAAGCAAACAGGCCCTTCCATCTAGTCAGAACTAGCTTTAAATAAGTCTTTTTTCCTTTTCCCTGAATACATGGCCTCCTTTGACATGGTCAGTGGCAAGCAGATGAACGCAACTGTATAAGCCTAAGTAGTGGATAATAGCCCAGCTGCGAGTTTTTTGTAGTGTTGACAGTGTAAATGGACAAATCAGCATTCTACTTATTAAAGATGAAAGAAAAAAAGGTAAAACTCAATACAGTGGAGAGTGCTGGAACTGGTCCCCACAGACTTGCGTCCCATCTGTCCTCTGCTGTATGACCGCAGTAGAATCACTTTTCTGGGACCTTCTTTTACTATAAAACCAACAAATCAGAAATGTTGCCCAAAGAACCCCCCTAACCTATTAAAGCAGTTATCGGTTTTACTTTTTGCTATTTCGGTTTTTCCCCTTTTTTTTTTTTGATACTGGGAATCCAACTCAGGATACTGTGCTTGCCAGGCCTGGCACTGCACCGCTGAGCTATATCCCAGACCCCACTATTTCATTTTCCTATAACAGAACCTTCGAGGAAGATCCCTGACTTGGAGCAAGAGCAAAGACTTAAGGAGGCGGAGGGCTGAGGGAGCTGAGCAAAGGGAGCAGCGGTGCGTGCGCCTGCCCAGCAGTTCCTTCTCCAACCTTTTGGGCCGCACAGCTGCGCCTCAGCAGCCCCGCTGGGCGGAGCCTATCCCGACCAGGCGGCCGCCTAGCACCCCCGACCCGCCCCAAGACCCTCTCTAGCTGCCTGCCCGACGCCGAGCCCCACGGCCGCCGCGGGGACGCCAGGCCAGCTCGCGGTCGCACGGCCGCTGCTCCGCGCGCCCGGACCGGCTGCCGACCTCGAGCATCGCACCCGAGCCACGCCGCACTGTTCTCTCTCCCCTCCCACATCCTCTCCACGTCCCCCGAACCCAGCCAGCCCCGGACTACCGCCCGCGCGGAAGCTGCCAGCCGCTTCGCTCCACCAAGGCAAGGCCCCGCGCGCCACGCTCCCGGCCCGGCCCCGGCCCGGCCCCCGGAGGTCAGGGCTTCCCAAGCTTCCACCGCTCCCGCCCGGGCTGGCCCGCTCCCCGCCGGCCGC